GCTTGATTATAAGCAATTCAAACAATTCATGCGTGAGGTAACGTGCTCACTATTTGGTATCTAATCCTTAACAATCAAATTTATTGATATATGTGTTATAAATATAATACTATACATAGCTTAAACTTTTATATACGACTGATCATCCCAATATTATTAAATTTTATGGAATTTCAAGAGGTATAATCAAAGTGCAATTTTTTTTAGTTGAACCCATGTTTGAATCATTAACTATGTCCTTATTTTGCTTAATAATTTTAGATCCACGGACGAATCATTTCATGCTTGTGCTACAATATGCAAATGGCGGTAGCCTACGAGATTATTTAAAAACAAAACGAGATAATTATCGATATAGAATTTCATGGGTTGAACTCATCAGAGTTGCAATGGAAATTACTCTTGGATTGAAGTATTTGCACGAAAATGAAATTATCCATCGGGATCTAGTAAATTTTAATTTTATAAATATTTTAATTCTTACTGTATAACTTAATTATAATTCTAATTCATATCAATTTTTTAGTATTCTAAGAATATTTTGCTAGATAATGGTAAGGCCTTGATTGCAGACTTTGGAATATCAAAACGATTAGATGATACTGCAACTACGAGCTCAGCTATAATGGGCGTACCAGCTTACATCGACCCACGGTGCCTTAATCCTCAAATCAAACGCGATAAGAAATCCGATATTTATAGCCTAGGTGTATTACTTTGGGAACTTATGAGCGGAATTCCACCACCTTCATATCCACCCAATTTTTTTATGACCTTAAATGAATATATTTCTCAAACTAAAGAGAAATATATTGACGATATTTCTCTAAATAAAGAGAATGACGCTACACTCTCAGATTATGCTGATATTTATATAAAGTGCTGTTCATCTGAACTTTTCCAGCGTCCAGAACTAGACGAAATTTCAAAAAAACTTGAAAATCTATCGGAGAAGACAACTATTGAATTGATTATAAATATTACAAATTGCATTAATATAAATAGTCAGCAAACTACACAGTCAATATCAAATTATTTAGAGCGATTAGACTCTTCTAATGATATAATCAAAAGTATAGACATGGATAAGCATCATGAAGGTGAGCTGAAAATGTTATTGACGCCTATTTTTTATAATTTATTATTTCATTCTATTCAACATAAAACATTCTATTTAGATAATCCAAATGAACCAAATTATAATAACCTTGGTAGAATATTTATTTATCCTTAATGGTTTAGTTATTTGTAATTTATTAAAAATTTTCTCTTTACTTAGATAATCAAGA